GCAGTACAGCCCCCAACTCAGATTTGAAAAAAAATCAGTGGATGGGTGTTTTCTGACTGGTCAGCAGACCGCCCTACTGGTCAGCTGCAATACGGTTGGCGGTCGGCAGGTATGCAACCCTGCTTCCATCACAATTTCTGTTATAAGTAGGGGTTTGTACTGTTGTAGTAGCAATTATGCCAATCGCTTCCTACTTGTAGTAAGCAGGGATGGTGATTGCTGCTATTCATTAGAGAAAGAATCTCTTTCTGTGAAGTAGACAATCTTGAAGTTGATTCAGGTTGTGCATTGGGTTGTATGGTACACTCTTGTTTATTCATTCTATTTTCTCTGTCGTTGCAAGCTTGTCCTGCATTATGTGCCTCCCTTTTTTTTGTGGGGGGGAGTTCACGTTACGTCTTAAACCACCACTACCTTTACAAGCTGTGTCCCATTTGGGAAAATGACCTCACCCAAAAAGTTCGGGGTTCCGGCGCAGGGTCGGCACAAAAGAAAAGTAAACGAAAACATTGGGACCCTGTGGGTCCGCGGTGAGGAAATAAAAAGCAAAAAAACACTAAGAACTTCGATCCACCGACGTTGGGGAAGGCCCTCATGGAGGTGGAAGTCACACCAGTGCTTCGAGGAATGTATCTGGCCAGTATGTGCGGAATCTGTGGAACGTGAGTGTTGATGATTTTGGTTTTCTGCCCTGCCCACGAGGAAGGGCGGATTTCACAGGCCGCAACTTAGTTGCCCCACTCATGTTGTACTCACACCAGCACTCTAGTGTGCTGTATCTGACCGCTATCACACCGTAGGGGAAGTCTTTTTTTTTTTTTTTTGTTCAATTCTTTTCATCTGGCCGACGCGTCTGGCAAGACCCGCACGGAGGCCGAAGTAATACCAGTGCTTTAGGAATGTATCTGGCCAGTATGTTTGGAATGTGAGTGTTGATGTTGTTGTTTTTGGTTTTCTTGAGGCAGGGCGGATTCCACGGAGGTCAACTTGATTGCTTCACTGACGTTGTACTCATACCAGCACTCTAGCGTGCTGTATCTGACCGCAATCACAGCATAGGGGAAGTTCTTTTTTTTTGGTTCTTCATTTGTTTTTGCATGGGACAGATGCCCTCACTGAGGCCAGAATATTCTATTTACATGAAATTAATTACTTACAAAATTCATTAAAGTATTGGCAAAGTGATCATGTATGCCCTTGTCTCGTTCCCTGTTTTCTGTCCCTCCAGCTTCCCGCTGGACTCAGACCTTTTATTCCAGGTGCAGGCTTCATTGGGCCAGGGATGACGCAACTTGCACATCTTGTACCTGCAGGCCACATGCAGGGGCCTCTGCCCCACCCACAAGGTGCTCAGATAACCCATTTTCATGGTGGTGGAGGATTTCGGCTACCGCCTCCACCAGGCTCAATGGGTTTCAACATCGTTGTTCAGGGGGCTACAGGGCAACCACCAGGTTCGTCTCCGATGGTCCAAGTGGGACCAATGTCGTTACCTCAACTTGCTCAACTGCGGCCTCCGCTTCAATTTTTACAGCCGATCCATATTGCCGGCATGATGAGGCCAGGTGAGCAAATGACTCGGCCCTCAGCTCCCCTGCCGTCAGGCCCGCCACCAGCTGCTTTGCCAGGGTCGATGGCACCATGGGGATCTCCTCAAATGCAAATACTTCTACCACAAATGCACATGCAACAGCAGCTGCAGGCACAAGCACCACAGTCGCAGCAGCAGCAGCACTCTGACACGCAGTTGCAGGCACAGGGCCAGTTGCAGCAGGTGGCTCAGATGCAGCAGTCACAGGCTCAGACGCAGGGGGGGCAGCAAATGCTCCAGGCAGGTCTCACTGCTCCTGGAACCCAGCTTTCGCCTTTGGCAGGTTCCATGTCGATGACTTTGCATCCTCCGGGCGCAGTGCCACATCAGCAACATAAGCAGCAGCTTCAGCCTGGAGGAAAGGCCATGGGCCCAGTCCCAGGTTACCACCAAATGCCGGGAGCTCAAGGGGCTGTGCCGGGTCTCCCATCAACATCAAATCTGAACCCCAACCATCCACCATTGGCGCCTGTTCCAGTCCCATCCAATGTGCTCATCCAGCGTGTCAAGACGTCTCTGGCGGCGGCGGGCATCCAACAGCAACCGTCCTTGATGGGTCTGCCCCCTGGTGTGACAGGGACCTGGACCATGGTTCAAGGACCAGTTTTGGGTCCAATCGCTGTCCAACCTGCCAAAACGGGAAGTCAGGAAGGGGGTCCCACCACAGCGGGTGGCACAGCTGGCGGAAAGGATGCAGGCCCTGCTGCAGATGGCCCGGTGGGAAAGCGAGATGACGAAGGGTCGGAGAAGAAAACTGTGGGGGGTGAGATGGCTGATGCGAAGGTGGACGCCCAAGGTGACAGCGAAATGAAAGATGCAGATACTGCTGGGAAGGAAGGGGGAAAGGACAAGGAAGAGAAAGCCAAAGAAAATAAGGACAAGGATAAAGAGGTGGAGGCTAAGAAATCAAATCCTGACATCGAGGAGTCTTGGACAGCTCATAAGTCAGCCGATGGAACAATCTATTACTACAACTCAATCACTGGGGAATCGACGTATGAGAGGCCAAAAGGATTCACTGGTCAGGTAAGAATTCAGTACAACCAGTACAGGCAAGTGTGTGCAAATGTGAAAGCCAAAGCCAAAGTGAAAAATTTTGCATGGTGGTCATAAAAGCTGACATGATGAGGGGAAACTTACTATTGTCCCTGTGCAAGTATGAGATGCAAACGCATTGAGAAAACAAGCACATCAGGAAATCGTCCAGAAGCTTGAAGTTATCAAAAAGCGCGTAGAAGATGCTTAGCTATGAATTTGCACAGGTCGAAATTTGAAAACCCTGTGATTGCTATGCTGGGGAATGTGAACTAAACTTGCAAATGAAACAACAAAGAGTGTCAAAGAAAGTGTGAAGGTAAACCATGTCTGTCTGTGTTAAGCAAAGCGAAGGTTACGTGATTGTTGGTGGTTGCTACACCAATCAAGTTTTTGCTGGATGTGGGTGAATGGGACTGAGGTGCAGAGAGCAGCAAAGCTCCGCTACTCCATAACAGGTGAGAGTAGAAGGCCACTATGCCTTGAGGACTCTGTTTAGGGTTTGGTGCTGTTTCCTACTGCTTTCCTTAACTGACAGGTTTCTTGCTGTTTCCTACTGCTCTCCTTAACTGACGTCAGGGATCCACTGCACAGTGGAAAGCTGACAAGCGGAAAAAGGGATTTGAACCCTCAACCTTAGCCTTGGCAAGGCTATACTCTACCATTAAGCAATTTCCACCATCAATCCACTTTGTGGTGCGCTCGCCGTGAGATGAGAGGCCGAAGGAAAGAAAATCAAATAAAAGAAAAGAAAACGCTCTTGCGAGCTCGGCTCGCCAGCAGATCATGACACCTAGACTTTATGCCCTCTTTTATCCGAAGAAGATCATGACAGGAAACCTTCGAGGCTTCCAGTGCAGCATCACTTCTACCCCAGCACCCTGCAAACTGCCTGCGGTCGACTTGGTTGCCATTGCAGAGATGGCTGTCAAACGTGAACCAAGGATCAGAGAGACTGAGAGTAGGCCTGAGGCTAGCCGATTGTTAGAGCTGCAGTATGTCCACTCGGTGAGCTACAAGTGGCTGAGGCAGATGAGACGCTGAGGAAAATGGAAGAATGGGACTGGGAGTGAGGACAGTTAGTGAGTGTTTTATAAGTAAAGCGGCGCTTAGGGAGGTAGTGGCAGGAGAGTAACTAATGGCAAAGGGGAATTCTGCCTACAGGTGGACTGGAGCTCTCTGATTTATGAAAGAACCCCTTCCTGAGGCGAAGGGGGAAAAAGTACCCAAGGTCTCCCTCTCAACGCTTCCTCTCTTAAGTTGCTGCCAGCTCTCTCTCTCTCTCTCTCTCTATCTCTCTCTCTCTCTCTCTCTCTATCTATCTCTCTCTCTCTCTCTCTGTGAGAAATACTAGTTCTTACGAACCACAAGGTAGGTCTGAGAAATGGTCTCTAAGGCGTTGGTGGAGGGAATATGATTGCTGTCTGAAGAAGATGGAATACAAAAGAACCGTTTGTGTGCAACGTCCAAGTTCCATGCTGCTGAAACTGGTAAAATGTAACATGGGTTTGGACTACTTCCGAGTCCGCGAGTTTCTTGATTGGGTTGTGGCACTCCAATATCTGTAATGGCATCCTTGTTCCAGTTCACAATTTCATTTACGCAGATGGTAAAAAATAGTTGTAAATATTAAATAACCAATCCCGGCACCTCCGTCCCAAATGCAGTTCCAGTTCTCAGAGTGTGTGCATTGTGTTGAGGTATATGTGGCAAAAGGGTTGTGACATTGCTATCCAGGTGTTGAATGCCAGGCTCTTTTGCTAAACAAATGTCGCGGTGTGGGCTTGTGGGTGGATGTCAAAGCCAGAGTCCCAAAGGCTTAGTGGTAGACATCCTATAATCTGGTCGAATTATAAGCTGAGATTCGTCATGATCAATGGTATTATAACCAAGGCATTCAACCACAAGTCAGAACCATGAGAGACAACCAAGTGACTAAATCGTGGGCGGCTGCGAATGCTTCTTGATTGGCTAAGATTTTGAAACTTGACCCGCTGTGTCAGGATGCTTCCCAAGGGTTGTCCCCCTGTTCTGTTTTCTTTTCTTTGCTCCTGTTATCTTTTCCTTCCTTTTTTCTCTCCTTTCCATTCCCGACAGTCCCTTGTCTCCTTGCAACCAGTCCCTTATCTCCTCCCCTTGCCTCCCCCCCCCCCTCCCTCTCCCCCTCATCTCCTCTCCCTCTTTGCACTTTTCTCCCATGCCCATTTACCGTGCGTCTTTCGCCTTCTTTCCTCTCCATTCACCTCTTGTCGCTCCTCCCTCCTCCCCCTGGATAACTCTCTTTCTCGCCCCCCTCCTTTTCCCTCTCCTTACCTCCCCTGCCTCCCTACCCTCTCTCTCTCTCTCTCTCTCTCTGCCCCTCTGTTCCTTGTCTTCTTCCGTCGTCTTTGTGCCTCTCTTCTTCTTTCCTCTCCGTTCACCTCCTGTCCTTCCTCCCTCCTTCCCTCGCAAACTGTCCTTTCCTTCCACTCCTTTTTCCTCCCCGGCCTCCCCCCTCCTGTCTCTCTCCCCGTCTCTTCCTCGTCTTATTCCGTCTTCTTCTTCTTCAGCAGGGAACCCCAGGCTTCATTCTGTTGTGGGGAGTTTCACCCTCGTTGACCACCACACGGAGGATAGCTACGATGTCCAAAAAACCATTCATGTTTCCTCAATTACAGTCAAGTGCTCCAGGTAAGCTATCAGGAAGATGCTTGTTTACTGTAGTTATTTCTGCTCCTCCTCCTCCTCCTCCTCCTCCTCCTCCTCCTCCTCCTCCTGGTTTATCACCTCCTTTTTCTCTTCTGGCTAATAATTTTGAGTGCTGTAGGATACCTGCAACCCCCATCCCTTGCGCCCATCCTTTTGCCCTGAATTTCTGTATTGTGCTCATAATCACTCGGCTTGAAACTGTCAAGTGAGTTGCTCTTTGAGATGTACTTCTTTGCATATTGATCAACTCGCTCCTCAAGATTTCCTTCCCTTCCTTGTTATTCACCCCCTGTTGAGATGCAAAGCTTTGTTGCGTTCTTCAGACTTCTTCTCTTTTCTGATTATAGTGATAACTAATTGGCTGCGACATCCACACCAGATTACCGAGAGCAGCTGCAAGGGTGCTGATATGTTGAAAGAACCCCCCNTGTGTGTGTGTGTGTGTGTGTGTGTGTGTGTGTGTGTGTGTGTGCGCGCGCATGTGTGTGTTTGTCTGTCTGTGAGTCTTACTCTGTGTGTTTGCCCTTCATGCCCCCTCTTACCCACCTCCCTTCCCTGCGCCACTCATCGTCCGTGCTGTTTCCCTGCCTCACGGACCCCTCTGGCCCACCTGCAGGCATAAAAGTCATCAATGTGCGGGGAAAAAACAGGAATGGTTGTCGCAACAATCAAAGAAACCACACGTGAGGCACGCTCCAAGCACAACAAATGTGACCCTCCGAATATCTTCAAGTGGTGCTCCAGTTCCCAATAAAAATTGCTCCAGAAGAATTTTGAACACTGATGTGCCACTTGTGAAAATGCATCGGCCTATATAGGAAGGTCACACCTCTAGCGGGAAAGGGAGGTAGGGGCGGATGCCAACTTCACAGCCAAAAAAGGGTTCTACAACAGAAAGACGGCTTACTTGTGAAGATAGTCCGAAAACGGGAAGATTTGTCCCTCCTTTACCCACGCATAATCCTGCAACCACCACCAAACACAACATTAGCCTGCTTCTCTCTCTCTCTCTCTCTCTCTCTCTCTCTCTCTCTCTCTCTCTCTCTCTCTCTGTGTGTGTGTGTGTGTGTGTGTGTGTGTGTGTGTGTGTGTGTGTGTGTGTGTGATACACACACATGCATCTGCGTGCACGCCCATGCACGCACTCACACATGCACCAAGAACCGCAGTCATTTAGAAGTCGTTCGAAATTGCAGTTAGGATGTCCTTTTAAGATCTCGTCTGGGAATTTCCAAGGAACCAACAGACAAAGAACCTGCTACCGGTACCTTCTTCGCTGAAGCTTTATACTACCACCATGTCTTAAGTAATTTAGCTCGGCCCGACTAACTTCAAGGCGCTCAAACCTTTGAACTCCTAAGCTCTGCAAAGCTCTCAGAGGCAGTATGAGCAGGACACGTTTATTTGCGACTCATACATGCAGACTCAAATCGTGGGTACCTGAACGGCACCCCGCCCGGGACTGCCTACCGAGTCAGCTTCCATCCAGGATCAAAGAATGCGTTGTTCTCAAACAAGCCTACGGTAGCATCCGCCGATAACCCCCGTGGTTTTGGTTTTCGTTCTCCGTTCGTTGCATCTTTTCTTTACAACATAGCCTTACTTAGCCAAGAAGCCAACGATCAGCACTTCACAGCATGAGCGCTGCAGATTCATTGGCGGGCGTGCACGTCCACCAGCACTACTGGCTCTGCATGCTCGCCACTCCGTCCACCTGATTAACAAATTAGCCGTTGGCACGCATAGAAAGACTGGGCAGCGTTCACAAAGTGAGGGCTGGAAAGACACAGCTTCGACAAGACAAACCCCTTGTGTGTCGTCACAGTGAAGCAGAAGTGAACGCAGACAAACGCCATGGAATACATCAGCCGGTCGCAAGCATTGTTTGGATGGAGCAAAATGGTAAGTGTGACAGATCAGACAGGAGACACGATCAGCCAACTGCAAGAATGGCCAACGAACGGCATTCGCCAGAGATACACCTCGACTCAAAGCACGACAACGAGAAGCATCCTCACCCCTAAGCATAATGCTTAGACAACATTCCCATGTCTTCCTCGTTGTCTCGCGTTCTTTACTCGTAAAGTTGCAAAAATGTTGCATGCGGCTGGCCACAATACGATGTCCCAGTCGCCCGTCTCGACCTGTCCTGACAACAGTCCCATCACACCCTGATAATGTCTCAACTGCATTCCGTTCACCTGCTGCTGCTCTCTCTCTCCCTCTCTCTCTCTCTCTCTCTCTCTCTCTCTCTCTCTCTCCTGTCTCTTATACACATCTAGATGTGTATAAGAGACAGCCCCACACACACACACACAATCTAAATGGACGGGAATCCTCGACTGCAATACTGCACTGGGACTAGGCTATCCTCTCATCAGCAAAGTTGAGGATCTCAGAAAAAAACATTATGAACTGCAGAATTGTCAGTATTGCCAAGTCAGTGTTCGTGCGATAAGCTCATCGATCAATATTCAAATCTAGTAAACCCTGTTATTTGGGGCTTATGTCCATTAAAATCAGAAGGATACAGAGAAGATTTACAAGGTCTGTGTGCTTGGATGACACATCACAAATCAAGGAATCGTTCAACTTTCAGGAAAAACTCCGAAAATGAAAAAAAATGAAGAGGAAACTGTGCTGCTAAAGCTTCTCGAAGACCTTTGTCCCCTCAAATTCCGTTCTCACTCCTAAGTTTTTTGGGGCAGTTTTTATGTCATCGAATGACTTCGATGGATTTGAGAAAAAAGGTAAATTAACTGCCCATTTTCCCCGTTAAGGATTTGTTCATTCTATTCTTTCGTTTTTGTCCTGCATCGGAATTTTTTTCTATTGGAAAAGACCTGACGTTTTTGTTTGGCGTTTATACTGCTTCGTGATGTGATGGACTTTCCTGTGATTAACAGCCTGAGAAGGTAGCAGCCCAGCCTACACCTGTCGCGTGGTGAGTATTTGGTTCTGGAAATTACTGTGTATACATGTCATGGAACAGAGGAGAAGGAGAGAGGGCATGGGTCATGGATGGGATGGTGAATTCCTATGGGTGACCTCTGTCAGCACACTTATTTTGTCTGATCAGTGATAAAGACTGACCTGCCGATGCGATCTCCGGTGTCACATCTTTCTTTTGCCTGGTTTTGCCTCGTTTTTTCTTCTGTCCCTTTTTTCTTGTGTCATCCTCTCATCTCTTGTTTGTTTCGTTTTCCTCCCCCCCCAGGATACCTTTCTGGGGACGCTGGCTGCGTCTGGCTGCCTGAAACGGCGAGCTGGTGAAGGTGCCGGGTTAAGGCCCTGATCGGGTCCTGGGAAGCATCAGCGAAAAACTGGAACCTTTGAGAAAGCAAAAAGGTTCTGAAACACAATCTGTTGTGTAGAATTCCAATGCAGACGACTTTTTGCTGAGGGTCACCTCAGACTTCCTTCTTGGATAGGAAACTGGCCTAAAATCTGGGCCTCGTGTCTGGGCGGACTACGGGAGTGCCCAGCGCATTTTGGTCTCAGGGAAATTTTAGGTTCCGGAAGGTTGTGGAGGCCTCCTGCGTGTCAAGGAAGGCCTGAAATAAAAACTGGGCCTTTTCCTCCCTCCCTCTGAGCTGGGTCGCCTGCAATGACTGTGCTGCCGTTGCACGGCACCCAATGTCTGTAAGCTTCTTTTTCTTGTCGTGTTCTTCTTCTTCTCCTTCGTCTCATCTTCTTCTACTCCCACGTGTTCTCCTGGATAGGTGGATAGATATACACACACACACACACACACACGACCTGATGAGTCGGTGAAAGTCCGACGGAACAGTCTGGCACAGTCCTGCTTTTTTTTTACTCTCTCGCGCACACGACCACACACACACACACACACACACACACACACACACACACACACACACACGCACACACACACACACACACAAGCACGCACAAACACACACAAGCACACACAAACACACACATCCAAACTCACACACACACACACACACACACACACACACACACACACACACACACACTGCTACTGCCTACACGGAGTCTGTCTCCTTACTGGTGGCACCAACGCAGCATGGTGCAAGTCTCGAGTACACTCCACACATTTCCAGCACAACGCAGAACATCACAAGCGGGCTGGCAGCAAAAATATATTGATTCCTCAGGCCTGGCTGGCTCTCAAGGAACAGCTGAAGTCAAATGCTGTAAGCAGCTGGTACGGAGCTGCATTGACCCGGTAGGCTAGGCTGCATCAGGAAACTCAACTTGCGCCCTAGGTCGTGTGTGATCTTTTTGTCAAAATTGCTGTGGAGAAATCTTTCTCTTTAGGTAGGGTCCATTCATTGATTTTTGCAGGGCCTGACACTTTGTTCCCCAGCCCTGTGTCTTGAGAAGGTATGATAACCTTTTCAGAGGGGCATGGGGCCCCTACAGACCTCGAGGCTTGGGCAACCTGCATTCACCCGAATAGAACACCCGGGTGTTATAGCTATATTTGGGGCGACTTTGAGTCTAGATATAGCGAAAGTGAGTGGGCGTTCAGTTCAAGGGAAGACGGGAGGACTGGAAACTTCAAAGGCTCCATTTCTACTGGGCTAAAGGCCTTGCCGTTCAAATGCATTGCCCCTACAGAGCCTTGTTGACTCCTAGACCGCAGTCAGAATTTGGGGAATTGGCTTCTGCGCTGGTTTTGGGGTCAAGTTCACTTCACTGTTGCTTCTTTCAAGGCAGAAATTCACAATGGGAGAGAAGACACACAGATGGGGGCTCGCCAGAAGAATATGTCAAGCTCTTCCGTCCTATGCTATGGATGAGCAACTCACCCACTCGATAAGCGGTGTCTTCAGATTCACCACTCGAATGCTTTCCTTCCACTTCTTCTTGCGTGAACCTGCGTGTCGCTCCCATTCCGACGGCCCCATCTCCTTGCCCTTCCCACAGGTCTTGCATTGGCAGAGAACCCTGACAAAGAAAACAGCACAAGCCCATAGCCACACCCATCGGTTAACTCCAAGAGCAGGAAATGCAATCCAAGACAGAGCCCCAATGTATCTGGAATGACATCACAAATTCGTGAGAGAGAGAGAGAGAAAGAGAGAGAGAACTTGGAAGTAAGATCTCACCCATAGTGTGAAAGTGTGTTTGCACTTCGCTAATCTGCGGCACATGGTGCGCTTGTGCTCAGCCGTAGCGAGCGAGAGACAGAGAGAGAGAAAGAGAAAGAGAGAGAGAGAGATGCCACCATGAGTCTCTGTTACTAGGATCAGCTCTCGGGCAACCCAAACAGTAGCTGCCTAAAGCACATTGAAAAACCTACAGCATAGTGTCAACCCTTCTAAAATCATCCAAAATCGTCAGATGGGTTCAGATACGGACCAAACAACACTATCTTTCTATGATCCCAAACTTGAAATGGAAAAGGGAAGAGGCCATGACATGAAGCCATGGTGATCAGAAAAACTTTTGAGCATGTCCACAGCTTACAGCAGCTTCAAGGTAGTAAAATCCAACCATGTTTGGTAACGGCAAGGAGGTCCAGCAAATTCCTCGTCACACAATCAACATGATAATCATCATCATCATATACAGCAAGCTACTGCTTTTGGAACCAGATATTGGCCGCTGTATTGCACATTCCCAGAGAGTGATATCGTTTTCAGAGAGGGAGGTGGGACTTAAGAAAGGCAAACAGCCCTCACCTGTGCAGCCGAGGCAGGTAGTGGCCAATCACACCCTCGCACATTACAGGTAAATGCTCAGGAACCAAGTATGGCCCACAATCATCCCATTCCTCCTCCCTGCAAAATCACAATGGCAATGTCAGCCTTCAAGACGACATCCTGCCTGATTAAATTGGTATCATGAGGAGAAGTAAGATTACATGCACACGCTACAGCTCACAGGGTGTCTGCATATCCGGATTTCCATACGTTGGCACCTATGCCTGCAAAGATACTACTGGACCAACCTGCCTGAAAGTGGACCACTCGATATACCAGTGGAGGGCCAACATCACACAGTTAGGAAAGAAATCCCAGGATGCCAAACGTCGAAATTATTGAATAAATCCCCGAATTGGGAGGGAACACCCTTTGCAAAAGAGCAGGCAGGTGAAGAGCACAGGGGACGTCAAGGATATCCACCTACCTTTCTTCTCTCTTCCGCTTTCCTGTCGTTTTCTGCCCCTCCAACTTCTCTCGACAGGTGGGGCAAAGATAAGTCTCATTCTTCTGAGTTATCTTCTGTCCTCATATGATGAGCCACGTGGAAACAGTAAAGGGTACAACAAACCAACCATAACAAGAGAAAAAAAGCATGAGGTGCAGCAGAATTAGCACTAATTAGAGCAAACTGTATCTCAAACACGCACAAAGAGGCCGGTGGTCATCAAAAGACAGAATGACAGACACGTTGGCGAAGTAGCCAACGTAACAACTATTCCCACTAATAGTCGACGGCGTGCAGACCCACACTGCCCTTGGTGTAATCCACACAAACAAGCTATTCCCACTAATAGTCCACGTCGTGCAGACCCTCACTGCCCTTGGTATAATCCACACAAACAAGCTACACACAAGTTTTCGTCTCTCCGAAGCATGCCCTTCAGACACGATTCAATGAGGAACAGAAGAACAAAAAGAAAAGGGAGGCAAAAGACGACCCTAACCAAGATTCATTGTGCTGCATCCAACATATCAACCCATTGTGTATTCGTTAAGATGTTTACTTGACTTGAATGGCTTCTGCTTGTCTGTCGATTGCTGACGTGAGAGATCAATTGGGTAGTATGAAACGAGGCAAATGGTTGACAGTGACACAAGGCACAGACGGTCAGATGCCGTCAAGTCTTCAGTCAAGAAACAGGGCGCACAAATTCGGGGTCCATCTGTTATCCTTTGCAACGGGGTATTCCGGAAGTGCCAATATCCAAAAGAGCTAACATAGCCACTCTTCTTTTCCGTAATGTTATATAATGCAGTCAGAAAACCATCAATTAGGAGCACTTTGGCAAAGAAGGGTGTGAAAAACTAGTCGAGCCGTGAAAAAGGGAAAGGGCCAGCTTGAGATGGTGTGGCAGAGTTGGAGCCGCCCTGCAATCGAGATCTGCGACCTGGGTGCACTCAATAATTCCTTCCATCATAGGAGTGGCTGCATCTTGAAATCCGCATTGCCAAGGCTCTGCAGCGTCCATATAAGCAATCTGAAATAACCATTCGTTTTTCATTTTGTATTGTATGTTCTCGTTTTGTTGATGGGCCCGTAAGAGGTCACGGGCTGCTTCANCACACACACACACACACACACACACACACACACAGAGAGAGAGAGAGAGAGAGAGAGAGAGAGAGAGAGAGAGAGAGAGAGAGAGAGAGAGAGAGAGAGACCATCTTGCTTTCCCCGTCTCCTCCCGTCATGTGCCATGTGGCACACAATTTTTTTCTTTACCATCTTTTCCGTTCCTTTGCCTCCTCCTCTCCATCTCGTTGTCGTCCTCCCCTCGACCTCCTCCTCGTCGCTCGTCCATCCTTTCCTCGTGTCCCCTCCATTGTCCTCCTCCTTTCTCCTCCATCTTCTCCTCCTGCCCTCTCTCCTGCATCTCTTCCTACTGCATGACACACCTTTGCTTTTTTTTTTTTTTGGGGGGGGGGGGGGGGATCTATTTTGCTCCTTTGTCTCCTCCTCCTCTACATCTTGTCTTCGTCCACCGCTCTGTTTGTGGCTGTCGTCCCCTCCATCTCCGCCAGGTCTCCCCTCCATCTCCTTCTCATTTCCTGTCTATCCCGTCCTTGTCTCCTCTCCATCTCCTCCTTGTCTCCGCTCCATCTCCTCCTCATCTCCCCTTCCAGTTCTTGTCTATCTTTGTCGAGCCGGTCTGTATCTGCTTCTTTTTTTCTTGCTTTGTGAACGTTTTGCCACTGCATGGTTATCATTCCATGTGTCAACCCCAAACCGAGAAAACTGGAAAACGGTATTTGGGCTGCTCTTAGTGGGTGCATAAACGCTAACTGACGGAAAAGAAAAAGAAAAAAACACGGACTTTTAGCCAGTCCGGAGAGACCCCCCGGGTGACTGGCCTCACCGCCTGGTCACGCTTCCCGGGCCAGTTTTTCTTCCCTTTTTTTCCCCTTTCCTTCCCTCTCTTGTTTGCTTTTCTCTGGTTCTTTCCTCTCCTCTGCTCTCTTCTCCTCCCCTTGGCTCTCCTCTCTTCTTTTCCCCTCCTGCCCACCGCGTGTCTCTCTTCCATCAGCTTCCTCATCAGATCTCTGGGCCTCTAGTTCCTCGTCTCCATGTACGGTCGCAAACTGAATATCTTAACGGAACTTCTGTCAGTTTCCGTAAGCGGTGCGATGGAACTCAAATATGATATCATAGGAAAAGCAACAGACTCCTATATTTCACACAAGGAAGCTCATGCGATGCACCTTCTTATGTTCCCGTGAAAGCTTCTGAGCTTAAACCGCCTTTCTGTCTGCAGAGCTGAAACGTTTCATTTGATGTCTTGCAGCTGGCCGTGTACTGTGTGGGTGTACACGATCTGCCGTGTGCCAATCTGCATCCAAGTGGGAGATGCTGTCAGATTTGCTGGCAGTGAGTAACAGATACTGTGAGATTGCAGTTTGGGTGTCAGGAGATGTAAAATAGGAAGCACCCAGTTTTTGATGCATGGATCTCCTATGCTTGCACAGTTTGACTTGTGGCGTTAGTTGTCACAACTTGCAATTTTATTTCACCTCAAGAAAAAAAGGGGAAAGGTTATCGATCCCCCCCGCGACAAAAGGTTTGTACTCGTTTGCCCCCACGAAGTGTCAGAAGCCTCGAAAGGCTTGAGGCACGGGGGGGATTTGTAACTTTTGCTACCAGCTTTCGGGGGCCTGTCGGACATTTTGCCACGGTCCAGGGTCAAATGAGTACAAACGTTTTGTCGCGAGGGGGGGATCTATAAATTTCTCCCAAAAGGAGAGAAAAGCAAGTTGCATGAGTTCATAATACTTGATATGGGACTCTTATACTGAATATTTTGCTCCAGTGTATGGATCTGTGGATCTGCTTTCGAATTGTGTAACATTGTTTCTGCTTTCAATGATTTATTTCACTCCTGCTGTTCGGCACGAACTCCTGCTGTTTGGCATGAACAGTACACAGGGCAAAAAGAGGAAAAGGGCAGCTCATTTAAATTGCCACCCAGTACTTGGAGTCGTGCATCCGCCCCTGTTTTTTTTTCTTTTTGTCATTGTGCTTGAAGCGTTGAACGCGTTTGGGAAATGGCAACCCCACTGCCAGGCTTTTATGTACCTAGCAGGAATTAAACTTTCTAGTGCCTGTGCCAGGGTCTGTGCCTGTGCCTGTGCACACTCATGAAGGACTTTACGTGTCCATGATTCTGGACTTAAAAGTGCCCCTCTTTCATGAAACTTGGTGGTTGTTGTGGGTAGAAGCTGAACGTTCAGAGTTAATGAAGGAAGAGAGCAGCTGGCTGAAAAGTCCGGTAGTTTCTGGAATAGCCTGACTGGCAACCCCACACAAGAGCGAGATCCGTGGATGATACAGAACAAAGAACTTGAAAGAAGTGATTATCGAGATTACAAAGTTCCACAGAAAGAGGGCCACACCTACCATCTTTGCCCGAGCACAACGCACCTTGATTGAAAACGTATGCAAGGATATCTTTTGGGTTCGGTACTGTCAGTGTAAGACGGTAGTTGCATTTGTCTGTTGTGTCTGCAAAGTTGGAGGACATGGATGCCATAAACATGCTCCTCTTTCCTCTGCTTGTCCTCCTCTCCAATTGTCGTAGCCTTTATTATTGATGGAGTGTGACTGAAGATAATGCTTGTAGATAAGTAGAAACTGATGTATGTTGGCCAAGAAAAAGGGAGTGGGGGGAGGGGGAGGGGCGAGCCTGGTGATTCGTAACATATGTCTGAAACAGATATGCCGAGATTTTCAAGGGGCGTCTGTCTGGTACATAAGAAGGCCGAAGATCCGAATATTTCGAGGAGTGTGTTGTTGCTGTGCTGTCTTCTTCCTCTGCAGTTCATGTGACCGTTTCTGAGAGGCACTTGTGTGAATTGTGGTAAGAATGGAGAAGCAGTGGAGACGACCACCACCTCAACACGCTGGGGAGAGGGAGGGGGGGGGAAAGGGGGCAGGAGAAGGAGTGTGGTATTACTTTGACGTCTTCTTCCTCCGCAGTGCTTGTGGCGAGTGTTGTGAAGCACTTCTGTCAACATGTGACTAGAGTGGAGGATCACCAAAGACTACCACATCCACAACACTTCTTCAGTGTCCTTTTCCTCCTTGATGATTGGTGCTCTTCTCATGATGTACCTAGTGAGGAATAACAAGAAAGATAGATGATGGGCGAGGAAGAGCACCATGACAATGACCGGCAGTGCATGCCATCTTGGGCTTACATGCCTGGCCTTTCCCCTTTTCATGTGAGAATCCCCAATGCCTTTTAAACGACCACCTATAGGTGAGTCATCACCCCTTCTTGGCTCAGCAGCAAAATGCTGTTACACTCATTTTGCAAGGTGGTAGCTGTAATGATCGTTTTCTGCGAATTCTTTTACCTTTCTCTGGATGTATTGTGGTCGTCTGCAGTAGGAGAGAGGGGCTTTTCCAAAGAACTGGATGTGAACCTGCATCCAGCAAATGGTTGGTATGAACTGGCTTTTGAATGTGAACCTGCATCCAGCAAATGGTTGGTATGATTTCTCTGTTGTATGTGTGCTGAGTAAGTACCCTTCACTGGTTGGCGGTGCTTCCTGCAGGGAACGTCTCACTGGCACAGACTGGGCATTAGTGACAACAAACGATGGGAAGAAGTACTACTACAACATCAAAACGCAGGCAAGAGTGTATTCCTCTCTTTGTTCTGATATTTTTTCACCCAACAGCTTAGGAACACTTCCTCCGACATTACTCTTTTGCAGCCATGGAATTCTTCAAGAGGGATCATGTTGCTGAGTGGTAGAGCCTGGGAGAGATTTTTTTGGATAAAATCCTTCTGTTTTTTTTTTTATTATAAATGCTCTGCTTGATAATGGTAGCAGCCGAGCTCAGTTGGTAAGGCACTGAAGTGTCATTCAGGAGGTCATGGGTTCAATTCCCTTTTGGCGTCATGTACCTTCCTGGGCATGCTTGGTGCCCGCAACCTGGAAATAGCCCATTGGTACCCCCAACTGGCACTAAAAAAGCAGTCTCTGCTGATGTTCATAGGGGCAGGGCTAATCAGTGAGGCACAGCGACTGGCCACTCAGATAATGCTCAGTCCCTCTGCTACCAGCTGTCCCCTGGCCGGTGTCGTCCAGTGGGGGTCCCCTGATCGCAGTAACGGCCACCCTGGGCTGAAATGGCACCCGTTGTCAGATTAGACATGTTTGAATTTACGTGGGCTGGTTAGTCCGATGGTAATACCCTAAGGCCATCGCCCTCGTTAAAAATAATGGTAGGGGAGAGGAAGAGGGATCACGTTGCTGAGTGGTAGAGCTTGGGAGAGCGTTTCTTTTTTATAAAATCTTGCTGGCAGCTGGACAGTTAATTTTTTGCTGGACAGTTTTTTTTTTTGGACAAAATTTTGCTAGACAGGTAACCTGCAAATTCTGTCATTTGGACTCTTTCGTATGTAACAAATGTATATGTAATGCTCTTTGTGTGACCCAATGATTATGCCTGTTCGGTCACCCTCTCCCTCTGTTTATGGCGCCACAGTGTGTGTCAGGTTCATCCTAATTCAGACCAGTTCTTGGATGTCCAGCTCGGTTTCTTGTCCTTGTGCGTTTTTTGTTTTTTTTGTTTTTGTTTTTCAATTCCAGCCCCCACGTGGTTGCTCCCTGCTTCCATAAAGCGAGTGGGGACTTTGTGTGCAACCACCCCTGGTTCGGTCCCTCCTCCTTCATCGACCGCGTTTGCCAGACTTCTGTATTTTTAAGCTTTGTTTACTAACTGACATTTGGCATGGATTGCCATGTAGGAAAAGGAATAGGGCAGCAAGACTGCCACTTCTCAAAAATGTACTAGAATGCTGCCGATAAGGAAAGTCATTCCGTTTTGTAAGGAATAAAATATACTTGAATCATGAGTCGAATGGTGCCAATAATGTCGCAGTTTTTTATTATTATTAAAGGAACAAGGCCTCTGGTACTCTCTATGGTTTCTAACTTTTCTTTCTTAGATAAACAAACAAGTGCAGGCAGGCGGTCGTTGTTTAGTCGCACGTAGTATGCAAGAACCTTTTTGACAATTAGGATTGTGGCTCCGTTGTGGTTTTGCATCTTGTGCGAGGGTCTGCAGAACTTTTGCTGCTGTCTGGCTATTTTTGTCGATGATCTCAAGTGGGATGGTGAGAGGAAGGTTTCTGATTTTGCTATTTTTGTCGTTGATCTCAAGTGGGATGGTGAGAGGAAGGTTTCTGATTTTGTTGGCCGGTCGTGTGCTGTTGGACTCTCTCTCAGGCGACAAGCTGGCAGGTGCCGCCGGAGGTTACTGAGCTGAAACTCAAGGCGGAGCTGGAGAAGGCAAAAGCTGCAGGCGATGCATCACATGGGGGGTCTGGTGCATCGAAAGGGATGTCACTTCCAGCAGCCGTGACCGGAGGGAGGGAAGCCATCGGTGCCAAGGCACTAAGTGCAGCATCATCGGCACTGGATCTTGTCAAGAAAAAGCTTGCTGATTCCAGTGCTACGGCAACACCAGGTGTTGCCAGCGTTGAGACCTCGACCGTGGGGCCCGGAACTGCAAATGGCGCTTCTGCGGGAGGGGGAACAGAGGCCAAAACAGCAGAAGGGGATAGCAAAGCAGCACCATCAGGAGAGAAGGGTACTAAAGCAGAGAGTGATGGCTCGTCCTCTGAGAGTTCCTCCGACAGTGATGAAGAAGAAGACAATCTGTCAAAAGAAGAGTGTGCCAACCGGTTTAAGGTGAGCGCAGATGGGAAACAAACTCGTGTTAGTTTGATTTCGAGGTCTTATCTTCGATTATACGTCCGCATTCCATGTTCCTCCCTCCAGCAAGCAGAACTTGGTGGCAAAGCCCTGTCTTGGTTGTGCTCTGGCATTCAGTCTACTCTCTCGAGCATGGTTTAGACCACCGCGGTCTGTTGTATGTGGGGGTCATGGGTTGGACAAGTCGTAACCTGATCATTTCTTGCTGCATCTGCGAAAATCATTGCGGCCATCTTTCAAACTTGGGCAACGACTCAGGGCGGCCGCTGCTTTTGTGAAGCGCCGACCGAGGGGTAAAGCGCAGTCAGCGTTTTTAGCTGTTGCATTCTGGCGTGGTCATTTGAGAGCACCAGAATCTGCCAAGGAGTAAAGCCTCATTTGGGCTGCTCATACAGCACACATTCTCGTGAGCGGTCATTAGAAAGCCCGATGAGCTGCCTGGAACCACAGCTTTGTTACTGTTAAGAACTACTTAGATGGGCCTGCGGTACTGGTACAACCGTTATCCTAGGTTCGGAACAGTTGTACATGGAAATGCAGTTGTTAATACTTGTTATCGCCTTTTTTTTTTTTTTTTTTTTTTTTTTTTCAGACACTCATTCAAGTGATCCCTGTGCATGACCTGTACCCGTTTCTAACGTTTTACATCTTGCACGTTCTGTTGTTTTGCAGGAGATGCTCAAGGAGAAGGGTGTGGCCCCATTTTCAAAGTGGGACAAGGAACTGCCAAAGATCATCTTTGATCCAAGGTTCAAGGTTTGTTGTTGTTTCCTCCTCCTCTTCTTCTTCTTCTTCTTCTTCTTCTTCTTCCTTCTCCTCCTCCTCCTCCTCCTGCTCCTCCTCCTCCTCCCGTGGTTGCTGCTGTTGCTGTACGGCAGGCTACTGATGCCTATCATATCAAGAGAGCAGATAGAGCTCATTCTTTTGTTTTTTTTCCTTTCGAAACGTGGCGTGATGTGTTTCACAAAACTGGAAAAAAACAAGACATGAAGCAAAGAAAGGACATGCTGTGGTTGGGTGCTCATAAGTTGTCTGATCATGTTTGAGCTGATGATGGTGCTAAGAGATCAGGAAGTATGGATTGAGCAGATAGAGCTCACTTTTCCGTTTTTTTCTTTCTAAACATGGCGTGACGCGTTTCACAAAATTGGAAAACAAGACATGAAGCAAAGAAAGGACATGCTGTGGTTGAGTGCTCATGAGTTGCCTTATCATGGTTGAGCTGATGCTGGTGCTAAGACATCAGGAAGTATGGATTCAGAAGGCGGTTCTGATCCAGGAACTAGTGTCAATGCTCTGGTGAATTTGCATCTCTCATCATCCCTTCCCACATACGTCATCGTCAATTACTGGGTGATGACATGATGTCCGGGATTAGTGTTCTCTTGATGGGGCAGTTTGTGGAAATCAATCTGGCAATTTTGGTTATTGGGAAAAATAAGGGGAAACGAAAGGGTCAGCTATCCAGTTGCGAAATCTTGATGTTCGCCCCTTTTGGCGGATGTCGTGGAATGCCCTGTGGAAATCTGTCTTTGGGTGAATTGGCATGTGCAGGCTATAGCTAGTCACTCTGAGCGCAGGTCACTGTTTGACCATTATGTGCGGACGAGAGCAGATGAGGAGAGAAGGGAGAAACGCGCTGCGTTGAAGGCTGCCATGGATGGATTCAAGCAGCTGTTAAACGAAGCAGAAGGGGTAATTTCAGCTTCTGGAGACTCGAGTCTTTTGATCACATCTCGTGCTTCGTCCGGCTTTGGATCGGTTTCCGAAAAAGAAATATCAGGTGGTGTTCAAAATAATTCGGCTTGCAAACAGTCAAACAAAAAAGAAAGAAGAACATAGTTTTGTAACCTACTTTACCTCTGTGAACAAATAATGAACAAGTCTTTTGGATTTGGGAGCTCTCGCTTTTTTTCTTGCTCCCCTGCTGATCTTGCGACGCTTCGCTTTCATTTCCTGTCTATTTCTTCCTCAACCTTCTTTTTTTTTTTTGAGGTCTGGGAACTTCCAGGTGCAAAGGCAGGAAGGTAGAGTGGGGTTCAGGACGTAGAGTTCTCTCTCCTGGACTATGAGGACCTAAACTGGGCTTGACGACACGTGCACACACACACACACACACACACACACACACACACACACACACAAACACACACACGCGCACACACACACACACACAGAGAGAGAGAGAGAGAGAGAGAGAGAGAGAGAGAGAGAGAGAGAGAGAGAGAGAGAGAGAGAGA